ATTTACTACAAAGGAATTCAGTATGCAATATGCATCCTGTAGTTCATAATGACTATGGCTAGAGTGAAGAATCCAAGAAATATCCTGTGACAGGCTGAAATACGTGTAACTTCCAAACTATAAGAGATAAAGGTATGGTTGTAGTGGGTGAATAGGGGTTATTTTACCTGAGGATTCCATTTTTGATGTCATTTTTACCATATCTTGAATGAATTAAGAGATAATAAGAAATTTTTATATTTTCTGCGTAGAAACACAGTATTATTTACCACATCGATCAAGCGATCGATATAGGAGGGTAGCAGGGGAGGGTAGCAGAGAGGAGGGTAGCAGAGAGGAGGGTAGCAAGGAGGAGAGGAGACTTACTCCTGACCAAGGCCAAGGAACGAAGAGGGTAGCTGGGAGGTGGGGTACAAAGATGGGCCTGGGAGGGATAATGAAGAGGGTTAATGTTAGTATGGGGTATTAAGATGATGAGGGAGGTTCACTTACCGGTTGTTAAATCAATCCTTGGGGTTGTTAATCACTGGAAAGAGGTGAAGAGGTGTGTGCGAGCAGCGAGTGAGGTGAGTAGTGAGCTGAGTCTTAAGTAGCGAGGTGAGTGTTGAGTGGTGTGTGTCAGAGTGGTTCGGGAGTCAAATTTCATCAACCATCCCGAAAAAAAAACTTCGAAGGGGTCTAAAAGTGGAGTAACCCCCATGATGAACAGAAAAAAATCAGATGAGAAATTGGGATATGGGAATCTAACCCCTCAACCCCTGGTTCCCTTCAGGGTAGCGTTAGTCATGTGGTCAGGGAGGAGCTCATTGCCCCTCCCCGACCACATGCCAGCGCAATCCTTTTGTGTCATGGGTTCAATTCCCACTGGAGATGATGTGTAGTTACGCTGTAGATAAGCTACAGTTACGCTACATATGTAGCTCAACTACGCTACATATGTAGCGCAACTTGTAGCGTAACTTAGCTTAATTTGCTATGAGTTACAATAAATGTTAGCTGTACCAACAGTTACGCTGTTGGTTAGCGCAAATTTTGTTAGCTTGGAAAAAGTTACGCTACCTGTTATTTTAGTGGCAATTATTTCAAGCTAACACTAAAAAAAATTTGAGGGAAAATTTTCACGCTACGCTGGCAGTTAGCTCAGCGGTGTGTAGCGTGAACTAACACTACAGGATTTCCAGAAAAAAAAAACCCTACTACGCTAACAGGTAGTGGCCAAATAGCGTAGTGTAGCGTAGCGGCCCACCGTTGCTAGCCCAGGTGTCTACAAAAGGTAACCCCTTGTATTACATAATAAATATTATCGTATGTAATTTTTAAGTTAATAAGTATACAGTTATGTTATTCTCTTTTATGTGTATTAGTTATGTTAATAAAGGTTTAGTAAATGAATAAAGATTTACCTCTTTATTAACTTACCATTTTCCTGAAAGTTATATTCAGATTGAAAAGGATAATTATCTCTTATGATTATCAAAGAGATTTATCCTGTGTATCTCTGTTGTAAATACTTATATACCTGTTTATCTCTCTTAGGTGTATCTTCTGAAATAAGAGAGATTTTCCTCACATGTACTTTAATCTTCTTGACATTTCTCCCCAAAGAAATAGCATAACCTTATGGGGACTGTACCGGTCCTACAAGCAGACTGACCTCTGCTCTGTAATACTTAAGGAGGAAGGCTATCCCTTTAGGATTCCTTTCCCCCAGACATTACCATACAAACCCGCTATCCTTACCTATTTACAACTAGTATAATAAGTGAGTGGGGTTTATAATCTAGTAAACTTTACATTACATAATACTCTATTCCTTTTAATTAGTACTAGTCTGTTACGGTTAACCTTTGTAACTAGACTAGTAACTGGTTCTCTCCTCTCATAAGCCTGGCACAGTGAAGTTGTTCCGCTGTCGTCCCTTATAACAATAAGGAGCAGCCCTTCACATACTCTAGTATATTGAAGAGGTTAATTCCACTACGTTGATTAATCAACAATAGTGCGACCCTTTTCCACTACGTTGTGTAAACAAAAATAGTGCGACCCATATCACCATCAGCTCCTAGTCACACAAGAGACGGGAGTTGACAGTTCCATTCTTTCAAAATCATGTTTTTTTGAATCAAGACATGTAGTTATGAAAATGAAATTTTGTGTTTCCCCTGGATTCCAAAGTTGGGATGGAATGATTCCCAAGAGAATTTAAACAATAACTAGCCTTAATTTAGAGACATGTATCAGATTCCCAGGTCCAGAGCTCCAAGTGGTAGTTCTGACCCATGGACATCCTCTTGATTATTATCTTCAGGGTAAAATAGGCCCAATTGTCAGCGCACTTATATAACATCCAATAATTATGTTAGAGCCAAAACTTAGAAATGGAGTTGGTATGTACTATGTAATGTATGAATACTCAAGATAGCCACTCCTATGAGTAAGATTAGTAACTGATTATGTAGTTTAATCTGAATGTCCAGATTCCCTGCAAAACTGTATCAAATATGGATGTCTAAGATGTCTGCATATCTAAGTTTGAGGACAATAAATAAACCAGATATCTGTGCTGATCAAGCATGATTATTTGAGTTTTCTGCCTAGTTAGAACCCCAGGGCCAAGCACAACATTGAAAATCCTGCATTTCATGTGTAAATGAAGTGATCCAAGATACAGGCTGAGTTGTTGAACCAGGGAGGGAGGGGGGGGCAATGAAAGCTTACCTAGTTGAACCAAGGATGAAACAGATACAGTATCTGTCATGTATCACTCCATTTATCTGAACCCCAATGAAAAAATTATCTGACCAATGTGCTGGTATTTGCAAGGAGATTCAACTATTGAGTTTTTGGCCATGCAGCTTTGCATAACTCTCTATGATACACACAGAGTATTGTATCTGTTACATCCTTGGTTGAACTACCCTCCATCCAATAGCCCCAACCTGCCGGACTTGGGCCAGTTGTTTTGGATAGGCCATTTGACACAGCCAGGCCACCGGTTGCTGGATGGAAGCAGGGAAGAGTGAAGCAAAGGATGGGTGACTTTAGCGCTGAAACTGTCCAAGGTTTATGAAACAAAAAGCAATGGTGGGCCGCTACACTAACCGCTACCGTAACACAGCAGAATTTCTGTTAGCGTCAAACATAGTGCAGCGGAATTCCGCCACAACACCGCTAACGCTATGCGTTTGGGCCGCCAAAAAGGGCCCACTAGGCTGTGCTACAGTGCTTTTTACAGTGTAGTGTAGCATAGTGGCACTAACAGTGCGCTAACACTACAGGTTTGGCGTGTGTGTTTTGAGGGCCGCTACGCTAACGTTAGTGGGCGTTAGTGGGCTGTTTAGCGCAGCGTAGCGTAGCAGCCCACCGTTGCAAAAAAAGACAAAATATGACAATCTTTGATTTCTCAAACTCGCGCAAGAAGGTGAGTTTGGGATAAAGCAAATTAGCCCCCCTCCCCCCCTACCCAACCCTTTATTCCTCACAAAAAATATAACACCGGTAAGGAATACTAAAAGGTTAACTTTATAACTCTCAAGATATCTCAATGTTTTAGGAGTGGTATATTCTACACAGGCCTACAATGATGAAGAAAATGATTCATCTGGGCCCAAAAAAAATCATGGAGAGTTTGTCTGACATGAATGCAGACTGAAATTTTGTTTTTGGTTCTGCGAGATCTCACTTTTTTTGGGTCTCTGCAAGGTTTGTCGATTGTTTAATCAAACAGCAACTTGATTTATTGATTGTTATCCCAGACAAAAGGAGGTTTATTTCCCGCAAGTCAGAGGAAGAAAGGAATTGCATGCCAGTTGGCTGGACTCTTTACGGCTCATAATTTCTTTCCCCATCTATGAAATCTGGGTTTGTTTCTTTGATAAATCAGCAGGTTTAGATGACAATCTGAGTGTAGTCTGCCTTCTCCTATCAACCCATTCAAATGCACTGAAAATTTTGTGAATTCAGACAAGATGATTGAGTGCGCAGTTCGAACAAATACAATTTTACATGCAGGAAATGCCTATCAGAGCAAGAGATGAAGGGCCAAGAAAAGTCGCAGAGGAAAGACGGTCTTCAAGAAGAAAGGCGAAGAAGGTGGAGCACAAGAAACGATCTTCTCTCAAAAGGAAAATACAGATATTCCCTCCGGATGATGGATTGATAAGAGTAAGATGGCCGAGGACGGCCCAGCTGGGGATGCAAGATAAACAAACCCATCTTTTCGATGTGACGTCAATGTAGGAGGAGAAAATAATTGTCCAATTGTCATCAAACAAGTTTTGTTCTTCTTCTTCTTCTTCTTATGAAAAGAGGAAGGAATGATATGATAAGGAAAAGAGAGGAAGATGATTAATCGGGTCGGGTTTTAATAAAGCGAAGACAAGAGGAGACGTAGGTTTGTTCATTCAAGGATCAAAGAGGGGAAGAAAGCCTGATAGAATTCCACTGATCGTTGCTCGATCCTTTCTGGGTTTTCGTCTCCGAAGACCAACGCATGAGGATCGAGTCTAGAAGGACCTATGTACAAATGTATGTGAAAAGGGTGCAATAATAAGAAAGATTTGATTATAAAAAAATAAACGGATGAAGAAGGTGAGGGGAGGGGGGAGGACTGACCAGGATGGTCGAGAGAATGGATGATGGGTAGCTCAGGCTCGGGGCGTGTGCGGGTGAAGGAGCGAGTTTTGAGGAGAGAGAGCGAGAGTCTCTTGATGAGCACTTTCAAGCCAGTCGTTGATCGGGGATCTAGGGGCGAGAATTGGAAGAGGTGAGTCTCCCAAGAAAACGAAGAAGGAGGAGGAGGAGGAAGCGCTCTGATCAGTAGGACTGACGAGGAATAGGGAGTCTGGGTGATGGGGCTGTCACATCTGCCTTCCGGAGCTGGTCATCCCCATCGATCGATTTCAGACACTCATCAGAATGTGCTGTGTCGTCCGTCTTCTCGCTCTCCACCAGGCCGGTCTCATCTCCGGACCCGCTCATCTCTTCCTCTTCCAAGGTTGGACACAGGAACGAGCCGATGCCGAGACTCCTCAAGCCGCCTTTGCCGGCCCGCAGCCCGAAGTCTGTGAATCAAAGCACCTCTCAGTCTCTTTCCCTCGAAGCGCTCAAAAAAAAAAAAAAAAAACAAAGGGGGCAGGAAGGCGAGCGAAGGAAGGGGGAGCTTGTTAAGTGGGGGAAGAAGGCAAGGGGAGATATCTCACCAAAGGAGCTACGGCTCACGCGGACCGTCCGAGGACCGCTGGGATGCTTGGTTACCCATAGACTGTAGTAATTGGCAGGGGAAGATTCGGACTTGATATCGGATACGGCTTTAGAGGAAAACACAATGATTGTCAGTCATGAGCGAGCGAAACAGAAAGCGTTGTGCTGAATCTCTGTGTCTGAATCCTGCTCTGTCTGGTCCTGTCCTGTGGGTGACTTACATGATTCAGAGAATCGACGGACGTGGCTCATGGTTTTTTTTGTTTTCAAAGGGTCGGGAAGATGATGATGATGGCTCCTGTGCTGACCGTATGGTCAAAGCGAGTCACTTTCGGAAAAGGGTTGTCTATTGGAATGGCAATCTGAACCCTTGCGAGGGATCAACTAGCAATAATTTAGCGATAGCAGTAATAATATTTAATTAATTATTTAATGGTTGGGGGAAGGGGGAAGGGGAGGGAGGGGGCGAAGGTTGTTAACCCATCTGGGAAGAGAAAGTGGTATGTATTATAATCCGCAAGCGCAAGCTACTTTATTGACGTAGGGGGGGGGACTCGTTGTGGTTGTTGTTGTTGCCAGTTGGAGACGGATGTGCACTACTTTATGATTAAGGAAGGTGTCCAACTTTCCATCGCGGTGGTTGCCGTACATACATAAGCAGATTGTATGCGGGCTATGACTTTCTTCGACACCGAGGTGATTTTTTTTTTCCTTTTTTTTTCGTCTGATGGTGTTGTTGGCGACTGAATTCGGAGATCGACATCAAAACAGTCTCTGTGGGGGAGGGGGGACACCATCCATGATAGTCATGACTGTGGTGGGTTGTTGATCAGCCTGCTGGAGTTCGAAGATACCCAGGGAATTAATGCTAGGAAAACCCACAAATCATCTGCTCAGCCCATCATACCACCTATGATGGCACCATCATCGACATCCCACACCGGTGTACATAACCTCGGTGGGTGGGTGTGTGTCCAATAGCTGCTATATTGACTGTCAATCCAACCCATCGCAAGAGTAAATCGGAGGAGCAAGGAGGAGGCCGAGGAGCAGGAGAGCAGAGGTTCTCTACATAATTTTCAGGAGAAATGCCGGCGGCCATCTGATCAATCGTCAGCTTGTCGACTCCTATTTTTTTTTATTGTTCGACTTCCATTGACCCTTGTCCGTCTGCAGCATCCTTCTCAAGCACATTCAAGTCGACTATTTATGTACGAGATGACGATCGAGCAGACAGAGACCTGACTCGACCTAATTACCTCTTTCATCCATCTTGCGGAACGAGCACGTGCAATTCTGGCGGGTGTCGGGATCAGAGGACCGTCATAAATATTTATTTACATCTTATTTTTCCGTCACCACCAAGCCCGGATCGTCCATCGGCCCCAATTCGCATCATGTCTAATGCCAGTCGGAAAACTTGCATGTTTCTTTTCATTTCATTTTTGTTCAAGCACTTACATACAAACAAGTTTGATGCCCCTTTCCATCAGCCTGATCATTAAGCTAATTCCCTGCCCCCACGGTCGGAGTGGGGTATGCAAACCGGGTCGGCACTTTTTCATATTAGTCCATCACCCACCGGCATCAACATTTACATAGCTCCCTTTTTTTTCTGGGGGGGAGGGAGGGAGAGTGTTGGATATTGGTCCAGACCATCAGGCGGATGAGCCACCTGAAACGAGAAGCTCAGAAGACTGAAAACGACTCTGTTATTATGTGCAACAACAACTTTACAAACGAGGGGAATCGACAGATGGCTTCTCAGATCATCTTGTGCATAACGATACGTTAGCCCTCTGACTATGTACAACATACTTTTATGTATGGACTACATCAGGATGCATACTCAGATGGGGTGAGATGGGATGGGATGAAGAGTGTTCTCCTTTTTTGGTTCCGGTCTCCTATGATGTCCTATGATGGGATCACTATGAAGATCAGACTATATTATAAAAGCTTTCGATCTCGATCGGGCTCTCATCAGGTTACACCGTTACACAGAAGAAGATGAGCCCGATGGATGGTGGTATACATAAGACTACATATTTATGTGGCCAAGATGGGTCAAAGATTCTCGGCTCATCATTCGTACAACTTTAAGCCTGACGGAATCTGGAAACAAAAAGTAGAGCAGAAATACATAATGAAATATTAATATCTGTGTATCGGTTACCCATGATGTGATCCTACTAAGTACGTATTTGCTCACCACACGCAGTAATGAAAGGAGCAGTGGTTACATAATGTCAGCCTTTCGATATACATACTGCGAGAGCACACTGCGCGCAAAGCCTGATCCGTCAAAGATCACATCCTCAATGAGCCTGATCGGATTCCTCTAGTGGTCTGACCGGCCAGCCGGTCAACAGCGTTCAGAGGTCCAATCCACCCACTCCAAAACATTCGATATCCACCTCCTGTGTACAATCGCTTCTAAATTCTAATTAGCTCTCGTACGAATCCGTGATCTCGTACGAATCTGTAATTCACATTGTACATAGTTCAGCTGCTAAAGTTTTTGCTAGTCAAAAACAGGGGGTTATGTAGATAACTAGGGGAAGAAAGAGACTGTTGCAAATTATCGAAAATAATGCAGAGGAATTTCACAGTAAGATCCACATCATGTACTACATAAGCTTGGAAAACATCAGACCATGAGGGTTCTCCAGTGGTAGCAGCTTATACCCCACTCTTTTAAATAGTAGGACTGATGGAGAACATCCTAACCTAACAAGAGGATACATGTCCAATCACACTACAGAACCAGGAGCAATCAATCTATGAATGGATGACTGTATGCATGCATGTATATTCAAAGACACGAAAAGAGAAAATGAAAGATAATACAAACAGCATGAATGCTTTGCTTTAACGACACTAGAGAGACAGAAGAAAGAGAGAGAAGAGATGGCTAGTACACAATCTGGGATCGGATGACAGCCTCAAACCCCGATCCTTAAATGAAAAGAATCTATCGATGAATGAAAAAAATGGGAAGGAAAAGGGAGGAAGGTCTTGATACAGGTCTCTATAAACAGGATCTCGGATGTGGACAGAAGGAAGAGCGTATGTAATGGTCAAACCTCAAATGTCTGCTCTCTGTGATTAAGGATGGATGATTAGCTTGTACATTTACTGAATAAGATGAATAAAATGAACACCACAAAAAAAAGCTAATGTGTGAGTAGGATGATAACAGACTCTATGAGCCATGGCTTGTGTGAACTATCTGTGCATGATTATTTGCATGTGAAGGAAAATCAAGACGGTCATTGTGAGTGATAAATAGTCGAGCTGATTAAACTGAACCACTCACCTAAATCATCAAGATACATATAATCAGATGGACGAGGACCAACGTTTTAGCGTTTCTTTTCCCACTCGGCGACGCCTTCGGTTTCCTGTCTTTGACTCTCGGTCAATGGAATAGACCCTTCATCGTTTTCATCAAGGCCTTGTGATCGTTCCTGTTGAATCTCTTCAATCTCCTCGTCAATTCCGATCTCCGATGCATCGCCCAGCTCCAGCCTTAGTAAACATGACAGCACACAATTCAAGTCAACATAAGCGCGTCGGGTTTGGAGGAGAATGAAAAGACAAAAAAGATGATTTAGGAACATACGGCTCTCGGGTTAAGAGTGGCTTGATCAATCGGTCAAAGTATGGATGCACTGGTGGAAGTGGGTTGGCAGCTCGGACGGCATTGAAGTAAGCCGAATAAACGTTGCCATCATATCTACCAAAGGGACTATTGATGATATGGTCGGAATATCGGAATGCACTAAAGGTTTGGGAGGGGAAATGGCACAATTATTTAGTTATCATTCCATCGATCGACAGAAATATCTAGCCAGTCTATTGCCCCACGTACTCTATCAATGAAACAGCGTAAGTTCGTACTTCAGCGCAAAGTTGAGTCACGGTTTCGGAGACCATATCCATCTGCTTGGGAGTGTAAAATCCATACTTGAGGAAGTAGGCTGCATTTTCCTCAATCCTGAAAGATTCAATAGCCCATGGTTAGGTTCAGCCGACCAGCCAGATTATAAGGAGGAGAATGAACTGACTGAAAAGAGCCATATAATTGGCAAATCGTTTTGAGAGTCTTAAGGGTTCGAGGTTCCTCATCAGAGAGCGAACCTAAGGCATCGCGAAACTGGCGAAAGATATAACCCATTGTGTGAATTTTAGCGGCGCAAAAACGTTCGTGAGCGCATCCTTCCATCGCCACATCTTTGCCCAAGCCTTGCTTGAGTTTACTCTCATAGACGTCCGCGGCCTTTTTGACGACATTAGCCGCAATCGTCCCCCATGCAAGATCCATCGTATCCAAGTCCACAACCACTTCGTCTGATCGACAACGAGCGTTCAGGATAGACTTGTCGTTGAGATACGCCGTCCCGGTCGAAAGCTTTTTCCCTTTTTGGGCATCTTGATAGGCAGAAATTAGTGATCTTCCCGCTTGTAAAGACAAAATCGTGTTATCGCCTTCCCAGGTACCTTTGGAACAAGCATGGCCATGATCAGTATCGTATCGAGACAATAAGAACAATAACGCGTATTTCGGCCATACATTGAACGGCTTGATCAGCATACATCGATGCTAACCCAGCATAGGAAGAATAACCATGTCCGCCCAGAGTTTGTCTGCACCGGTCGATGGTCTCGAGACACTGCCAAGTGGAAAAGGCCTTCAGACCGGCAGACGAGGCATGAGTTTCTTTTAAGGTCTCTAGGACGCGCTCGGTGTGCTCCTTGTCAGACGATGAATCGAAGGATTCCAATTCCATCGACAGCTTCTCGTATAGATCTGTCATTCTTAACGCAGTAAATCCCTGATTGATCCAACAGTCCCGAAATGATGATGTATTAACATTGGCCACTCCAGTCCAAGACAAGAAAGACGGGTTGACGGACCATGGCAATTGCCTGAGCTACCAAAGGCATCAATCTACGTTGATGAGTTGTGTAATCTAACAATTGTGTCTCAAATGGATTGTTACCCGTCTTGAACTGTCGACGGATTGCACCATACCGGATGGCAATGGTGAGTGCCTTTTTGGCGACATGAGCACCATCAGCTACCATGGCTGTGCGCCCCTGAAGAAGTGCACCATAGCTGAAGGAGAGTTGGAAGGTGTATCGGTTAGATGCATGTTTTCATAAATAAGTGTGCATATCAGAAGTACACACGTCAACTGGGCCAAAGGCGGTTCAAAGACTTTGCCTTCCCGAGTGACTTGAGTATGTTTCATCAGCATGTAGGCACGAGGGATGCGGACATTGGTGAATTGTATATAGCCGTTGTCTAATGTAATAAAAGGTGAGCAGGAGTCAGTTGGGTTGATCATCCGATGAATTGATTCTAGAGTGACACACCAATCCCGTCTCTACCCATCTTCTTGCCAATATCGCCGATATTGACTCCGGGCAAGAGTGAAAAGTTGCGAGGATCCCTGAGAGGAACGATAAAAGTTTTGGTCCCGTAATCTTTGCCTTTGACAATTAAGCGAGCGAAGGCTGAGCAATGGGTTGCCGTTTGGGCAGCTCCACCGATCCACCACTAGCACAATAATATTGAGAAAGAGTTAGCAAGCCTGGACCAGTGACATATCCATGTCGGAGAGGGAGAGAAAAAAAGATAATCCACCTTAGTGGCAGAAATAGTGGGAGTGTGGATGACAAATTCATCGGCCTGTTCATCAAATGTAGCTGTGGTTTCTAAACCCGCAACGTTGGAGCCCTATGAAAGCAAGGGTCAGTATTTCTGATCAAATACCGCAATAAAACGGTCACAAGCAGAGAGAATCGAAATAAAAAACCAACATGAGCTAGTTCAGTCATCGCAAAACAGCCGGTGATCCCATTGAGACCCAAGACGCCCTTGTCTAACCAATAGCTGAATTGATTAGCAGTCGCACCCGATCGGATAGCACCCAAGAATAACCCGTAATGAACGCCAAATCTGGTCCAAAAGGCTGGATCTGCAATCCCGATCAATTCCATTCTGCCAAATTTTTTTTGATTTGTTAATATTAGAGACTAGATCAGTCAAATCAAGAAGAGAGAAAAAATGAGACGGAAGGATCTTGAATCGGTGTGTAGATTAAATGTCTCTATAGCTTACCGCTTTGTAAACACATCTAGGCGTTCAGTAGTAACGTAATGGACCATGTTTGCAAACTTGGCCATCGTTCTTTCTCTGATCTATAAAAGTCAAAGCATGTCATTAACCAAGAGGGACTTGTGTGATCAGGCCAAAGATAAGATAATTCCATGTCTTTAAGAAAAGTATGCTTACCTGATCCTTGGTGAGGTCATGGATGTCGTCCAGCTTAAAGGCTGGATCTCGTTCAATCTCCTGCATGAACTTATCCTTCAGCAGAACCGACTTTTCTCCACCATGTAAGACACAGGTCATCCTAGGGATTTTTGGAATGCAGATGATCATCAGCTTAGCACAAACTTCTCCTTGACATCCAGATCCCAAAAATAAATTCTTAATTTTACCTCCATAAGTCGAAAGGACATTCCCGACGTTCGTTGGCCAGGGTTTCCATTGGACTTGGAGCGACCAGCTGGGTGGTGGAATGAGACGCACCAGAACTCGATGGTTTCATTCTGAGGGCTCGAGGATTCGATCGACTATTTTCTTTGGGTGACTGCTTTTTTGGGACCTCGTGTTAAGTTTTAAGGAGCTTGTTGAAGTATTCAGTTTCGCATCCAGTTGCAAAGTCGGTTTCGATGGTTTTTGGTGATATTGATTCGCAACAGGTCTCGGTGAGTCGGTCGACAAAGTTGGTATCCAATCCATCTGTTGCAAATCTGACATCATATCCCCGAACTGGATACCTGTACAGGGGGGCCCGTGAGGCCCCGCTGACACGGGCTTCAAAGGCGGATTCAACTTGTGCAGACAGCGATTGCTGCTCTGAATGAAACACTTTTTGGGGCTGGAATATCAGCTTAGGTACCCTCATACAGGAGCTTCTTCTTGTGCAGCACAAGTTTCTCAAAAACTGTCTTGATGCAGATGTATGCACTACTTTTTGTGAATCACCACAAGCAAATTTGGATTAACCCAAACACTTATTCCATTCTGATGGCAACTATGGGCCAGCTATGCTATTAGTACAGCATAACTTAGCAGAGTTCTGCTGAATTTTAGTGTGGCACAGTGGAATTCTGCCACAACTGTGCTATCACTGCATGCACAGGCCACCAAAAAGCGCCCACTATGCTGTGCTACAGCACATTTTGGAGGGTTTTTGGCCCTTTTTGATGCTAAAAGCACTATAGTGCAGTATAGTGGCACTAACAGTACGCTAACACTACAGGTCTGGCATGCTGTTTTGAGGGCTGCTATGCTTGAATGAGTGGTTTGTTTAGCACAATGTAGTGTAGCAGCCCATTGCTGCTGATGACAGAGTGCAAGTTGCTGAAAATTGGATGTGATGTTTGGTCTTCAGGACATGATAAGCTGATGTAACATAACACCAACTTGCATGCCCAGTAAACGTGGGCCTCTGATCCTGATGCTTTGTCACAAGCAGCAATAATTAAACATGTGATAAATTAGTTACAGGGACTTGTAAAAATGAATCCCAAAGTTAGTTGGGAAAACAACTCCCAACCTTGGGGGATGTACCCAAGACCATCTATCAACAATCCTGGGAGTCATCTTCACAGTTCCCCTAAGGGGGATGGGAGTTTCTTTTTGTGTTCCACCTTGCAACAGTGGGCCACCTTAGAGCTATGCTAACTGTAGTGTAGTGTAGCAAAAAACACTAAATTTTAGTGTAGTGTTAGCACAATTCAACATTTCTGCACTGACACCATGAGAACAGGGCGCAAAAATGTGCTAGATTTTATTGTAGTGTTAAAAAAAATTCACAAATCTGCACCAATGCTACACACACAGGGCGCAAAAAAGCAACTGCTACACTGTGTTACAGCAGTTTTGCCTTTTTTTTACTGCTAAAAGCTCTCTAGTGTAGCAGCATTAGCAACACACTAACCCTACACACAAAATGGCCAGTTTTGGCGCAGCCAAGAGGCGGTAGAGGCACGCTAACACTACACAAAAAATGGCCACTGTTAGTGCTGTTATGCTAGCGGCCCACCGTTGCACCTTGGGAGTCTTATTGAGGATCCTTCTAAGCAGGTCAATGGCCTAATTGTAGAGAGGTCTTTCCTATTGACAAGAAGTTCAATGGACTACTCATCAACACTGCAAGAAAAATTCAGGCAACTGTGTACAGTTTAAATGTGATATTACAAAGGAGCATTTGTAATAGTCACATGTAAACTGTACATAGTTGCCTGACTTTTTTCTTTCTATTTCAAGGATATAGATTGCCCTGGCGGCATCCGGATTTCTGCACGGATGCGGATATCCGGCCGCTTTTTTGGGGAAAACAGCCATCCACAGCTGCTGGCGGGTATCCCCCCACCTTAGCAGGTATCTGAGTCTCCAAGAGGGTATCCTCGGATACCCGCCCTTTAAAGGGCCGGTGAGGCACCAGCTGAAAGGGTTTCATTCCAGCTGGCAAGGTACATCCTTGCCAACTGGAAGGACCTCGCCGGCTGGAAGGAAAACCTTCCAGCTGGCCATTGGCCTCGGGTAACCCTGGGGATACCCGGATATCCGCCAGAATTGGGGGGTAAAACAGCCATCCGCAGCCAAATCTGCACCCCCTGGCGGGTCTTTGTTGGCCCTGGGGGCCATCCGCAACGGATACCCCACAACCATCTTTAGTGCAAGAGGTCTTGCCTCTTGGTGTCAGGTTTAGAGGTTTAGGATACTTATTGGTGACAAGAGTAGTATCTAGAACTGTGATCTGCTTAAGGAAGTGAAGTGGATAGGGTGGAAATGAATATCTATCAGTGACAGTTTACTGGCACGGCTCAGAGATGTCTTGATGAGTCTCACTAACACGTCTTCCTGCAGCTTGAGGCCAGGGAAACCAATCTTGAGTAGCTCAGAGTTGGGATTTGTTAACAGTTCATATTAACAGGCGGGGTAATAGTCATAATCAGAACTAGTAGTGAGTTGTAAGCATTATTTTTTAGGATGGAGTAAGAGTGTGTTGCAGGGGATTAGGATGAGAGGCAGTTGGTTATAGTATAGTAGTCTAGGTACTTGAGCCTTTCAGATAGGCAGTGAAAACCGGTTACTGAGTAGTAAGAGTTAACAAGTGCTCTCTGATTGGCAATGGGAGTTCTTAGGTTTCCTCTATCTGGTAACTGAATATATATTTGTTTTTAATAGGGCTAAGGCAAAAAGTTAGAGAACTAGGCCAGAAGCTCCTATAAATACCAAAATGAGACACTGGCTAATCTGTGGTCATCCCCAAGGAATAAGATGGAACTAGTAGATAATTCATCCAACTGTTGGGGAACAAGTTGTGTTGCAACTACAACATATTAATCAATCCCTTTTATTCATTTATTTGCGCCTGCATGATAGATTATTCTTATTTATTTATTTTTATTCTTTTATTACTATCATTCTTCTTATGAGGGGGTTTAAACCTATTAACCCCTGACACTTGGTCTCACCAAGCAGGTCAATGGCCTACTTGGCAAGAGAGACTTGATGAGAGGTCTTCCTCTTGACAAACAGATATTCTGCTGGGAAATTCAAGACCTTTCAATCAGCAGGCCATTGAACTGCTTGGCAAGAGGAGGCAATACCTCTTCCAAGTTTGTTGGAAGGTCTTGTCAAGTAGGCCATTGACCTGCTTGGAAACAGGCAAGGCCTTTTGCCAAGTAGGTGAGAGACCTAATGGTGAAAAAAAATAAAAATAAAATGAATACATAAAAATAAAAATCAACTCCCATCCCCTTAGGGCAATTGGGAAGACAAGTCCCAGGACCATTGAAAGATGGTCCAAGGGACATCCCCCAAAAGTTTGAAGTTGTTTTTCCAAGCCCTTTATTCTTTTGGATGCTCCTAAATCAAGCACCAAAAGACTTAACAAATTTTGAAAAAAAAAGTCATGAAATAAGCACTAGAGGCTGACAAGTCATGCAACAAGTCATCACAAAAATAATTGCATTACATTGCATCTCCTCACTGCATGCAGTTTTGGAACCAATATATCAACCATCTTGATGCTGATGAGGTTTCAGCTTACACTGAGTCTGTAGCTGAAATGTGATGGAAGACAGCTATTACAAAAGGAATTGCACTCTTTCCAGAACTTTAGGAGACTTGGATTCCTAAGAACAATTCCAATTATGAACATATTCATGCTCAAAAATTGTTCTCTACTCTAGGAAAACTAAACAAGAAGCATTTGAATAATTTCTCTTTACCAAGGATACATCACAAAAAAGGAGTCACCCATTGGTTGGCCCAGCAGCCAGCCAATGAAGGACTTCCCGTCACCATTTAGAGTGCTTTTTAAGCCCTCCCCAGTCCTAAATTAACACCTCCATCATAATTCCAACCAGCTCACATGAGAGCTATCTTCACAAGGCTTGTGAAAAAATAATGTTTTATACCAAAAACTAAGATCTAGGGGGTGTAAATCAAATTTTGGGAGGGTTGTAAACCGCAACGGGAAGTCATCCAATACACAATTGGTCTGGAAGACTGCTCTTATGATGCTGGCTGTCTCTGGCTGACATTTCTGTGGGGGGTTTGTCACCAATCACTGGCCCCAAAACAAAGGCAATGTGCACACATTTTGGCTTTGTTTTGGGGCCGGTTAATGTAACACCTTTGGCAGAGAGGATATCCTCAATTCTTCAAACTACTTAAGATACAAACCAGAAGCCTTTTAATAATAAGATTCATAAAAATGGCACTGTGACTGCACTAGCCAAGTGCACCATTGGAGGGGCTTCTAGGCCCCCACTGGCACCAAAATTTTCAGAAGTAGCTCCAACAACCCTTGTATGAAGGTAAAGTGTTGTATGAGGGGAACATGGAGCCTGAGATGATTGAATTTCACAACTAACAGCTTCATATGTGACATTTTTAATTTTTGCCCTCCAATATCCCGTTGCCCTCCAATATCCAGTTCCCCTCCAACATCCAATTTACACTCATTTCCCCTTTCAAGACAATACAATAGGCATTTTCCAAAAGGAAAGGAAGCATGACTATGCAAAATCCTTTCATCTTTCCTCTCCCCCGACCTCAACATCTGCTTCTTATTTATGGGTTCCCAAAGGCCATCAGTTGAAGCTGTTCTGTTTTCTTCAAGGGTGGCAATTGTGGTCCTAGGCTCTGTGAAGGTACTGGATGTTGTCTCTTTGTCGCGTTGGGAAACACCGACCAAACTCCTAAACTCCGACCCGCGCAGTTGACCCGGGTGGATACGAGTACAGAGTGGTCATGTGGACGTTCCGTTCCGAAGCCATCCACCTTCATGGGGTTGAAGTGCGGGGGTGGGGCATCTTTCTTTATTTCAGCCGGCCGCGTAAGTGTTGAACTTGCAGCTGATGATGATGATGATGTCAGTTGGCTTGATTACGTAAACCTTCCACCCTGGGGCCAGTCCCTCCCCCCCACTCAACCTCGACCTAAAGTTTACCCCAGGGAACAGCTCGTTGTTGACCATCACCATCTGACCACCAAGCCCAACAACCTGTTTTACCCGCCAGCTCCAACCACACCGAAGGTCTTAATTAAAAAGCTCAAATTAAATTATAGAACCTCTTCGCAGTAGCCTTGGAGAAACAAAATACAACAAAAATACTTATTTAGTCATTGTGAGAGCGGAAGTTATCTCTTGTCAGGTATTTACTTCTTCAATTCGCTTTCTTCTCTCCCGATCCAGAAATCTATTAATTGTTGTGTGTGGTCAATCGATCAAGCCTGTTGACCGTTTCTTCCCTCCTCCCCTCCACTATTACCTCTTCCAGTTTACCATTTACATAAAAGCCCAACACCCTAATTAGCAAACTACCAGGATGTCTGCCGACAAATTCCCAATCCCCTTCGTCGAGAAATTTCACAAGGTCGCCTTAGACCCTTCGCAGCCCAAATTATCAGCCGATCAAAAATCCAAACTACTCGAAAATATCTCAATCCTCCGGGATGCGATCGTCTTCTTCACCGCAACCGGTGCTGCGCGTGGCGTGAGTGGCCATACCGGAGGTCAGCTCGTTTCCTATTTTATCTGATCTGGGCCGCTCGTCCAAGAATGATCATTCAGATTTCTGACTTGAGAGTCTTCTTGCCAACATCTCCCTCCTTTAGGTCCATTTGATACCGTCCCGGAGGTCTGTTTACTCTTGGCTCTCTTTGCCAGTGACCCAGACGGCAAAAAGTTCGACCACACCTTTTGGGATGAGGCCGGACATCGTGTGGCGACTCAATACCTCGTCGCTGCTCTCGAGGGACATCTACCAGCCGAGCAGTTGATGATGTACCGGGAAGCCCAATCGAAACTACCCGGCCATCCCGAGTTAGGCCTCACCCCTGGTGTTAAGTTCAGCAGTGGTCGTTTAGGTCACATGTGTCAGTGCCTGTTGTTGTCAGAGTTGTGTTTAATGGTCCGAGCGAGCTCTAGATCTGTTACCAAACTCGTGCTTCTCCTCTCTTAAATCCACAGGGCCTCTTGTTAATGGTGTTGCGATGGCCAACCGTGGCAAGACCATCTTCTGTTTGGGCTCCGATGGCTCTCAGCAAGAGGGTAACGATGCCGAAGCTGCCCGACTGGCTGTGGCCCAGAACTTGAACGTCAAGCTGTTGATCGACGACAACGATGTGACGATTGCCGGCCATCCAAGTGACTACATGAAGGGCTACGAAGTCAGCAAGACGCTCGAGGGACATGGCTTGAAGGTTTTCCATGCCGAAGGTGAAAATATCGACTCACTTTGGAGCGGACTTTGCTCGGTGATTTCCCATCAAGGCCCGGCAGCCTTGATCGCCAAACGGCTCATGTGTCCTGGTATCCAAGGACTTGAAGGCAGCAATCATGGTCATGATGTAATCCCCGTTCCAAAAGCTATTGCATGTGAGTCGCAATTGACTTAATCCCACAAAATGTTTCATTCCTGACTGATATCTCTTTGTTTCTTATTCCAGACCTCAAGGATCGACCCTATGGAGAGGCGGCCGCCAAGATCCTCAACTCTCTTACCCCGTCCTCTTCACCCTATCTTTACATCGGCTGTACCAAAGAAAAAGACGCTTGCCGTGTACAGTTTGGCAAAGCAGTCAACATGGTCTTGGACAAGCTCTCCAAGGAGGAAGCAAAGGAGAAGGTTATGGTAATCGACTCTGATCTCGAAGGCTCCACTGGACTGAAGGCTATCCGTGAATCTCATCCTGAGGTCTTTATTCCCTCTGGAATCATGGAACGTGGTAACTTCTCCGCCGCAGCTGGGTTTGGATTTGAGAAGGGAAAAGTCGGAGTCTTCAGTACCTTTTCAGCCTTCCTGGAAATGTGTTGCTCTGAAATCACTATGGCCAGGTAAGCTTGATTCATGACTAAAGATACGTTTAGTCCTTAGATTTACCTGAGCTCTGACCCATTCGATTGCGATTTTTCTTCATACAGACTCAATAGGTGTAACGTTTTGTGCCACTTTTCCCACAGTGGAGTTGATGAAATGTGTGACAACACCTGTACGTTTGAGCAGTCAAGCTGAAAACCTTAATAACGCTCGCTAACAATCCAATTTTGATTGGTGTCACAGGCCACTTTGGTTTAAACACTTTCTTTGCCGACAACGGTCTGGAAGATGGATACCCAACTCGTCTTTATTTCCCGGCGGACGTCCACCAAATGACTGCTATCGTCAACGAAGTCTTTTGGGATATGGGACTACGATTTGTCTTCTCGACAAGATCCAAGGTTCCGAATATTTTGAAAGAGGGTAGCCAAGAGCACTACTTTGGTGGCGATTACAAATTCAAGCCTGGAAAGGACGAAGTCAGTGTTCTAGCAATGTACTTTTGTTGTTGTTGAGCCATCTGACCGCAGTTCTCTACACAGTTCATTCGCCGAGGTAAAATTGGAACGGTGATCTGTTTCGGAGAAATTGTCCACCGTGCATTGGATGCAGTTGACCGACTCCGAGAGGAAGGATTCGATGTCGGATTGGTGAACAAGTCGACCCTGAATGTGATCGACGAGGAAGCGATAGCCGAGTATGGCAAGCAAAAGTTCGTCTTGGTTGTCGAAAGTTTGAACCAAAAGACCGGCTTGGGAAGCAAGATGGGCACCTGGCTCTTGGAGCGTGGATTGACGCCCAGATACGGCTATATGGGCACTAATAAGGAAGGCTGTGGTGGCTTGAGCGCTCAGATCTTCCATCAAGGCTTAGATCCTGCTAGTATTATTCGTAAAGTGAAGGTCTTGGCAGCTTAGTTTAAACATCATCTCTTCTCCCTTGATCTAATTTGCATAAACATCTTCTACATATTTACATAAATACATTGATGAACTTGTTCGGATGAATGTTCAATTAAACATCTCTGTTTTTTGATCAATACCGGTTTCACATACAAAAATACATGTGCTATGGTCGTAACATGCCTGTCATCATTGGGGCTGGGCTTGAGTGGATTTTTTTGGGTCAATCAATTAATCAATTGCTATTGCTCCGTTGTTACTTGCGTTGATGCTTGAAAAAACTGGCCATGATGTATTGATAACTAGAGCTGTTGGTTTTGCATGTATGCACAGTTAGCTACAGACTGGTGGGGCCTTTATCTTGTGGTTTTGGGAGGCATTTGGAGTCCTTGAGCTTGATCTCTCAATCTCATTTCTTTTGGCTGATCAATTTCCAATGGGAGTAATTAAGTAAGAATATTCCTCAAGGCATGAATTAGGGTTCTCAAAGTTGAAATGGGGCCAACATACGGCTTGTACATACTCCTGTACATACACAACTACATAGCTCTTTTTCTCTTTTTTTCTGTGCGCCAATCCATACCTGCACAACAAACCCCATTCTAAATGCATACCCCTGCCTACCCCCGCAGAAAAACAGCTTATGTGCTGTATGTAGCCTCATATGTATGTCGGTATGTTTCAACTTTGAGAACCCTAAATGTCAGTTCTTTAATCAATTTGGAAATCAACAAAGGTGCATTTTTCAACACTTTTTTTATCCCATTGGTTTTTATTTATGGAATCCAAGGTCACAAAACTCAAGATATCTCTTTCACCAGTGAACTGAATCTTGCCAAGCTTGTGTGACCAGTCATAATTGTGGCACAAACATGGCAGAATTCTTGATAGGCCTGTATGTTAGCAATAGCACTATCTGCAAACAAATTCTACCTTTTGTTCAGGATTAAGTGTTAGTGTAGCCGCACTTTTTTTATGTGGAAATCATAGTGTTAGCACCCCATTAGCGGTTTTTGCTAAGCTAAGCTGTGGTACAAGCCACTAATGGCACCTTCAGGGCCAAAAAACCACTAGCCAGCATGTTAGAGCAGCATACACTACAAACAATACCAGTTTTTCCCCAGGAAAAAATGGCATTTTGGGCAGTGGAAAATAGGTCAATTTCCTGAGGCTTTTTTTACAAAATGACTTGGGAGTAAGTAAAAATTAGGCTAAAATGAGCTATTAGGGGGTATCAAATATTGGAAATCTACCATTAGAAACCAGTCACTTTTCCCAAAAAGTTTTTTGAATCAATGGGCCCTGAAAGGGGTTAAATGAAGAGCCAACATGTTTTAAAAAGGGTGGGTTTTTGCAAACCAGTCAATCAGATTAATGGTTGATTTGGTTAAATTTGATACCCCCTATTTTAGCCAAAAAAGAAAAATGCCTCAAATGAGCTAAATATTAATTTTGGAATGTTTGAGGCATTTTTCTTTTTGGGCTAAAATAGCTCATTTTTGCCTAATTTTTACTCCCAAGTCATTTTGTAAAAAAAGCCTCAGGAAATTGGCCTATTTTCCGCCACCCAAATTGTCAGCCTTAGAGATACTCCAGAGTATCCAAAAGTCTGCTTATAATAAATATATCTAATATTACTCACTAAGAGCAACTCCAGCGCAGGTGGTATATACGGGGTGGTATAAGCCGGATTTACCACACGAGTTTCAGATTTACCACCTCAGGTCAGGCAGGTGCGCCACCGCAAAGTTGTAAACCTTTGCTGAGGATTGGATGAGCGAGGGATATTGGTATGTGAAAGGGTTGTACATATTGGGGTTTCACAAGCAGGATGGGTGGTTTCACACATGCGCGAGAGGTACCTGGGGTGGTACGCGAGTGGTAGATATACCACCTCAATACATTTTTTGGACGGAAAATGTTGCTTACCACCCTGTATACCACCCGCGGTGGCGGGTGTTTTGGGAGTTGGGGTGGTATATGGGGCTTACCACCCCGGATATACCACCTGCGCTGGAGTTGCTCTAAGGAATAAAATAAACGCTGAAGATTATTGAATAATCTTCTTTTCATATAATTTTAGGTGGGGTCTCTCACTGGAGCTACCCCTACAATCTTACTCCTTCTAGGACTTTGTTAATACTCAAAGACCATGAAGTCAAGTAGGAACAAAATACTGTAAATCAACTAAAATAATAAAGTGAACCTAATGTATATTAAATTAGGGTTAAATGTACATTTGAGACTGTATTATACAAGAAATAAACATGTAGAATAGAAATTACCACACTAGTGTAGTGTAGAGATAGTCATTCTGGACCCTGGTACCAAGTGGTACCCAGGTACCCCCCCCCCCCCTCAGGTTGCAAACGGGTTGGGTCGACCCGAGTGAGACCCGACACCCGACGGGTTATGGGGCGGGTTTGGGCAGGTTTTTGGCCAACTCTGACCCGACCCAGACCGACCTGACTATTTCTCAGGTTGGGTTCGGGCAGGTGCTGGGATCTTTGGGTAGACCTGAGACCAACCCGAGAACCCAACTAGTTACTTTATTTTCTTGCTGTATTATCTGTACTGTACTAGAATACAGCAAGAAAATCAGCCCTGGCTCGTGTCCGATTGCATGCAATCGGACACCAGCAAGGTGAAAGCTGTTGTGTCCGATTTTGTGCAATCGGACATGGATAAGAAAAAGATGAAGAGCTTCAAAAAGCGGAAAGTTCTTTCCCACCGACTTGGCCCCCGGCCCCCCTCCCCCCAGGCTAGTCGGGTAATTAGGGCCAAGGGAGCAGCCTCAGGCCTAGGAGACTGACTGCTCCATCCAATCTTGAGTCTCAACAGTCCATCATCTATTCAACACCAACCAACCAATCAAATATGGCCATGGTTAACACCCAAAGTAAGCAAAAACGGGCAAAAAGGAACAGGATCGCTGAATCCAGCAGCTCATCATCCTCAGACACTTCAAGTGCAGCCGAAGTGGAGCCCCAAGCCAATGTTGATTCATTGGCATCCCAGCCCCCAAGTCAGTCAGCAAACTCAGCCAGTCAAGGTTTGACTCAAACCCAGGCGACGGAGCCAGCTTCACAGGAGACCACCAAACAATTGACTCCATCCAATCCAGCCAAAAAAAATGTCACTAGCAATTCGAACACATCCACTGATCGGGAACCCCAGAAAAGGAGCAATGTTTGGCTTCACTTCTCCAAAAGTGGCACTGGTTAGTTTTTCTTCAACATCAACAAACTCTTTTAATTTTTTATACATTCACAGTACTTATTTGGGTCTTGGACCCTTTTTTATTCTCAGGTGATGCCACCAAGGCCACTTGCAAATATTGCAAGAAGATTCTGAATGGCCAGAGCACGCAAGGGATGACTTCCCTCTGGAGACACCTCAATCGATGTAAGGATTACAAATCAAAGTCAAAGCAGGGATTGTTGAAGCTTGGTGGATCAAGCGCAACCCCATTGACGTGGGTTTTTTCTCAGCAGGTGTCACCGGAGCTACTGGTCAAGATGATTATCGCCCACGAACTACCCTTCCAATCCGTAGAGTTCTCCGTCTTCCGGGCATTTTTAGCCTCACTTCAACCTAAATTCAAGAACTTCTCCCGCACAACACGCAAGACCGATATCATGGCAACTTTCAAACTTATCAAGATCAAGATTTCAAAGGAAATAGCTAGTGTTGATCGGATAGCACTTACCACTGATCTCTGGACGTCATCAAACCAATCACCATTCATGGTGGTCTCAGCTCACTACATAACACCCGACTGGAAACTCAAAAAGCACCTCATTTCCTTCAAAGAACTCCCAACACCTCACACTGGGAGGGCTATTGGAGAACAACTCATCGCTACCATTGTCGAGTGGAAAATCATCGACAAGGTCACTTTCATCACGGTCGATAATGCTTCATCCAACGATGTTGCAATTGCTCGACTACGTGATGTCCTCATAGAACAAAGCCAGGTCCCTCCCCTTCTAGATAGCGAGTTTTTTCATGTTTGATGCGCAGCACATATCATCAATCTCGTTGTAAAAGATGGTCTCAAGGAAGTTACCAAAGCAATCCAAAAAATCCGTGATAGCGTCCGTTATACGAAAAGCTCACCGTCTTGCAAGCAGGAATTTGCAGACGCAATCCAAATGGCCAACATGAAGAAGATACGATTACCATCGGTTGATGTTCCTACTCGATGGAACAGCACCTATCTAATGCTCAACTCGTCATTACCATACAAAGAGGCCTTCAATAATCTTGCCATCCAAGATGCTAACTACACAAACTGTCCAACATCGCAAGAGTGGGAGGAAATCTTTGCCATGCAAGATTTCCTGTCTGTTTTCCACAAAGGTGATCGATCTTTTTAACTTATATATTATAAATTGATCTTCTAACTTTGTTTTGAATTTAGCTACATTGAGACTAGGTATGACTGCATATCCAACGGCGCCCTCAATTTACAAGCACATGAAGCTCATCAATAAACAAATCAAAGACGCTGTCACCACCGGACCACCTCACGTTGCCAGTATTGTCAAACCAATGCAGGAAAAGTACAACAAGTACTGGTCAAAAATGGAGGATTTTGCTGAGATCACTGCAGTATTTGACCCATGCTTCAAATTGGCAATCATCGAATTCATGCTACTCAAGGAAATCATCTCTGAAGCTGCTGAGGAAAGTCTAAGTCGAATAAAAAAAAACTTGTTGAATCTTTACTCCAAGTTTGTCCGCACACTACCTGCCGAACCCGCCAAAAACAACGACAACACATTGAAAAAGCAAAACAAAACTGTTGAATCAAACGATAACGACTTCAACCACTTCCTTGCCTCCAAGCATGCTAATGATAAAATCACCGGAACCGGTGAGCTTGACTTATATCTACAAGAAAAACCAGTCGGGATGGGCTCAGAATTGTTCGACATCCTCAAGTGGTGGGATGTCCAAAAGGACAGATTCCCAACACTTTTGCGGCTTGCAAGGATGGTGCTCATGATTCCAGCAACCTCAATTGCTTCCGAATCGGCCTTCTCGACTAGCGGATGAGTTCTTGGCGATTTCTGGAGCCGAATGGCTGCGAACACTCTTGAGGCCCTTGTGTGTGGGCAGGACTGGTTCCGTAGTGAGGAAGATGTCAATAACAATAAGGATGATGAAGAGGAAGAAGATGATGATATCGAGCTAGTGGAATAAGATTTTTATTGCTCATTATTAATTTTTCATTTCTCTTATATTTTATTATTCATTATTTATTCATGGGCCTTAATAAAAAAACGCGGTTTTTCCGCGTTTTGACGCGGTTTTGATGCGCCGCAGCACACGCGGTTTCCGCTTTTAAACGCGGTTTTTTAATTAATTTTTTATGGGTTATTTTTTGAGTTTTTTTGAATTTTTAAAGTTGTTTCCTACACTATAAAAGGCGTAGAATTTAATGGTAAAAACCATTTTTCATAAAAATGAATTTTGATTATTAATTATTTTTTTTCACTCATTTCTCAATTAATTGTTTGCATACATGTATGTACCTTATTTTTTATGCTTTTGTGAAATTTTAAAATTATTTCCTAGGTTTCAATGTGTGTAGA